TTCCAGTGAGCCTACACAGTCACCTGGACTCGTCAGGAGCCAAGCACACCTGTGGTACATATACATACATGCAAGCAAAACATCCATACACAGAAAGTGATTTTTTTTAAATTATGCGAACAGGGCTGAGACACAGTGTATAAAGTGCCTGGCAGTGCAAACTCATGAAGACCTGACACAAAAATTGACCATAGCAGCGTGTGTGTACAGTCTGAACACTGAGGAAGCAGACAGGTAGATCTCTTAGATTCATTTGGCTAGCCATCAGTACTGAATCCGTAAGTGGCAAGGTCTGGCCATTGTTTATTAAAAAAAAAAAATACACAATAGCCTGGCAGTGGTGGCCCACCAGCACTTGGGAGGCAGAGGCAGGCGGATTTCTGAGTTCAGGGCAGCCTGGTCTACAGAGTAAGTTCGAGGACAGCCAGAGCTACTGAGAAACCCTTCCTTGGGGAAAATAAATAAATAATAAAATAAAATAAATAAATAAATAGGTAAGCAAACAAGGAAGACACCCAACATTAATTTCTGGCCTTCATCTGCATATGCATACACCCATATGAAAGCATTTACATATCACACACGTGTGTATACACACACATGTGAACTCACAGACACACATAAACTATGAAAACAATTTTAGCATGGTTTTAATTTTACTGACATGGCTTTATCTTGCATATCCATGACATCCCTTGAAGCTGAAGTTCAGCACTGGTTGTGTACACTGTAACAATGTCTGCCATGAACAGTGAAGTACACACTACCTCAAGACTATTGACACTCCTGGTCTGTCACAATGTAGGTGGAAGTTAGAATTTGAAGTCCTTATGTCTGAAAGCCAGTTCCTGTCCTTGGGACTCTAACAAAGTCCATAACCTCTGAGCTGTCTTGACTGAGATATGAGATAGCAAGTGTAAGTACCTGGGAAATTGCCAGCAACTCAACTAAGGCCACTTTTTCTTCAGGAACACCTCCTGGCCTGGATATAGCACCAAGTTCAACCGTGCATGCCTGCTGAAGTCACTGACCTCCAAAGTAGCAAATCAGACTCATGTTGAAGCCATTTCTAAAACGCTCCTGGTTTTTTTCCCCCACAAGGACTTTAAAGGTTGAGGGCATTTGAATCACCGAGAGTTCTCCATCTCTTAATTCCCAGACTCCATGCACAGGAATAGGTTCCTGCCTACTAAGGTCTCATCCATGCAGTGTGGCCAATGGACTCAAACTGTGACTTTTCAACAAGAAGCTCCTCCTTGTCCTCCCTGCTCACCAAAGTCTAATTTCACCATGGAAAGAAACCTCCCTTTGACCCAGTGACCTTGGCCTCTTCATGTTAACTAACGTGCATGTCGCCACCGCAATGCCTTCAACGGGAGGACCTCGAAATTCTTGACATGGATGTGGGAGGCACCTGGCCAGTCACATTCTGTAATTAAACGCAGCTCTGCTGTAAATTTGGTAATCTCTGGACCCAACATATCCCAGAGCGATCCTCAGTCTGGGAGTATGACCAGATACTTGACTATTCAAACAGTTCAACATCTTCACCATCTTTACGTGGAGCGAGAACCTAGATTTTGATGCCAAGATTTCTGCTTGTTTGGCAAACGATGAAGATTGGTAACATTTTATCTGCTAGTTCTCTTATTTTAAACATGGAAATAATGCCTATTTATATCATAAAGCAGCTCTGAGATTAAACGATATATGCAAAACACCCTTACAGTAGTGTCTGTTACATAGCTGGTAGTCATAAATACAAAAATACTCCTGTAATATTTACTATATTCATTTATGTTAAGTCGTTTATTAATTTAGTCTTCACAACTGAAGTAGGCATTACCATGACTCCCATTTTTATGGATGGAAAACCTGGTAAATATTAACTATAAAAACAAGATGGCCAATTTGACTTAGAACACTAATAGAACTCAGCGCTAGTCACAGAAAGAGTGGTACTGTCATCTGTGGCTATGCCAAAGATTCGGAGCATTTGCTATACTAGATTCAAGTCTCTCTTCATTTTTCTTTTGTGAAGAAGCCACCAAGAAACCTTTCCTACAGTTAACTGTCAAGGCCCTTCACCTTGCTATAACTATCATAATCTGTCTGAACTTTTATTACTAGTCAAAAGCAATTATTACTGTTGGCCCAAGGATCTCCTTAAGACGCAAGGACCCAGCTAAGTCTTTGCAAATGATTTGCACACAATATACACTATGGGTCTTCCTCTATAGCTTACAACAATAAAATTTAACAGCCAGAAATTGTGCCTTGCTTCCCTAGAATGCGGAATGAGAAGCAGTCCTCTAGATCTTGATTTTCAATGTAAGAAATTCAACTCCTTTAAATCTGCGGACCAGTGAACTTAGTCACACATGCTGTATTTTATATATTCAAAAACATTTTGGACCAGTCACAGATCTGTAATCCCATCTAGTTGGAAGACTCTGACAGGATGATCTAAAGATCAAAGCCAGCCTAGGAAACTCTGCAAAACTTTGTCTCAAAATGAAAAATGAAAAGGGCTGACTGTGGCTCCAATCAGAGTCCTTGCTTAGGATTCTTGGAGAAGAGGTCCAGATATTTCACAGGCCTGTAAAAAGGCCCGGGATACAGAAACAGGATTCACTAGATGTTCCCCAACAAAACCCAGGAGGTGGCAAGCAAATGCCAGTCTAGGCAGAGATGGAGTCCCGAGAAACCTCTGAAGGTCTGAGGATGGACGGAAGGACTGGGAGATGTTCAAGTGGAAGTCACCTCTCTCAATCTGGGAACCATTTCATTTCAAGTTTCAGAAAGCACAGAGTATGGTTTAAAATCACACGGTATCCACCGTACACATATCCCTAAGGTTGTACCTTGAACTCACACATTCCTTACACACACCCTACCCACACACGCCCTTTCCCTCCTCCCAGCCCCCAGCAAGGATGCTATTAGACCTGTTTCATGAGAGGAAGTGGCCGAGGCCAGACAGAGTTTACTTGGTAGGGGCACCAAACCAAGGGGTACCGACTTGGGAGTCACACTCCAGACTTGATTTCTACACCTCCTCTCCCTTAGAGGGCTCCCTCTCTCCATTTCACTCACCCATCTCATTTGTAACAGAACAAAACTGAAAATTAAGGGCTTGAGCTCTCCATAGCTACGTATTCACAGGATTAGGCCTGGACCTAGTATCCTGTTGCCCTACTTGATACCAACATTTACGCTATCTTTTTTTTTCTTTTTTTTTATTTATTTTTGTTTATTTTTTTAAATCAAATCATAATTTTTACTTATTCATACAGGGGTTATAAACACAAAAAGGCAGGACGTGGGGAAGGGGATGACACCAGAGCGTGGGTGTTCAGGGGGAGTACAGAAATCTTTCAGAACAGGGTATCGGCTGGGTGAAGGTTCAGGGGACAGGTCACTATGACTCTGCCTATGATTCACTTGTCCTTATCTACGTTGGTATTATCCGCCAAGGCTACCTATCTACAAGGTCTGCTATCTTTTAATAAAGATACAATTTCCCCAAGTCCAAGATTGTACAACTTCACCAGGATGGTCCTCCAATCAGCACTGATTTTAGCATGGTCTTGAGCATATTCCATATCAGTCAAAATTTTCAAAACAAAATTGGGAGGAATCTGTTAACAATTTATGGCATAAAAAAAAAGAAAAGTTGGCTAAAATCTGTTAGTGAATATCTACTGCTCCCCACAATGGCACCTCTTCTGTTTCCTCCTTCTTTATTCAGTTAACAAGGACAGAGGTGTGCTCCAAACATATTCAAGATAGCTAAGCAAACAGTGTTACCGAGACTTCTGGGATGTATACATCTATGGCAACCCGGCTATACAAAGCAGCATCAAAGAGCCTTGAGAAGTAGTGAAGGAATTATCAGTAACAATTACAAGAGAACGACAGAGAATAGGCTCTCAAACCTCACTTGTATGCAGTGCTGAGATTGTATGAGTCTTTCTTTTGAAATCTACCGTTTAAATCTTTCTTGAAGAATCTGGGGACAAGAATCTCCTCCTTTTTAGATTCTTTGTTTTTAATGTAAGAGATTTAGCACACATTAGGAAAGTCAATAATTTAACTATCTTCGCTGCCCAAGTTAAAAAATTACCACATTCAGTATGTTTTCCCCGTGTACTGAAAAGCATTTGTAAATAAAAATGTATGCAGCCCAAACAAAACAGGTCAAACTTTTGAATAATCATGTAAACAAATACAGTTCAAAGTCCCTGGCTTCCGAGGGGGCAGAAGTTTCAAGAGCACTCCCCTCCCCTCACCCCACCCTACCCCACCCCACCCCCGCGCCTGCTGATGTCTATACCAGAACCTAGCTCTGAATCCAGACAGTGACTTGTAGGACCTGTTGCAGAATTTCAGAGCCAAGCAATGTTGTATCCTTGTTTGTACCTTAAAGGTAGAAAGCACCAGGAAAAGCTAGGTATGTTCAACTGGGATTTCTCTATGGTTTCTTCTGTCTTTAAGATTCTGTTCCTGGTGGGCAGAGACCACCGAACAAAGGCGATGGCCAGGAGCTCCGTTTGGCCACAGGAGAAGAACTGGAGCTCAGCGGGTTAAGAATAAGCCCACCACCCCAGAGCGCCCACCCAGTTCCCAAGAAGGTAGGCAGGGCCGGGCATGCACACCCTTGGGGTACAGGAGCCCTGAAGCTTCTAACCCACTCCTACCCGAAGGCGAGAATCAGCCCTGGGAGAGAGCCTGGGGCTACAAAAAAGAGGGATTGGCGGCTACGAGAAACTCTCAGCTCGCCTCTGCCCCAGAGAACAGGATGGGAAATTAAAGGTCACCGGGGAGGATTTACCTGCCCCAAGGACTCGAGGTCCCGGGGTAGGGATGGCCTGGGGGTGACAGCAGGTGAGCTAGTGGACCCCGCAATGGGGAAGAAGTGGGAGGATGGGTGGGAGCATAGTCAGGAGCAGGGGTGGAGATGACAGGGACCGCGGGGCTGCAGGCTTCCTAGGACTCACCCGAGTGGGAGGCGGGAGCACGCGGCGGGCGGAGCTAGCGAGGTCGGGACAGCGGAAAGCCGCGGGCGGATCGGGACACTGGCGGGAGTGCGCGCGCCCGCTTTTAAAGACTTGTGCTGGGCGTGACTTGATTGGCCACGCCCATCGTTCAGCCACGCCCCCTCGGGTTGTCAGATGGTCTCCGCCCGGCGCGCTGAGCTAGGCTCCGGCTGCGGGTTCCGAGCTCTGGCCCCGAGACAAAAGACCGGAATCGCGCCTCTTCCTGCGGCTTCCCGCGCGTCGGAGTCTCCCACCATCCCCAGCTGCTCCAACCCACCGGTCCCGGGGCTTCCCGAGCACTCAGGACCGGCCCGGAGCCATCGAGATCGGGGGTCGCCCCACGGGGTTCCCGCCACCCTCAACTGTGCAAACGCTATATGGGGTGCAGGACTCCCCGGTGCAGGATAGCGTCTGATCAGATTCCCAGCTTCTGGAATCCACAGCTTTCCTGTCGTGAAAGAGCCACATTCCTCATCTAGACTAAACAAATGACGTTATGAAAACACCTCATTCCCCAAGTGTTTTGCTTTCCCCACCACTCACTGCCGGGGGGTGGTGGGGGAGGAAGAAACCCACAACCCACGCAGAAACCCTGGCGCCAAAAGGCTTCGGATTTCAGTTTGCAATTGTTTGCAATTGTCAGAAAAGCCCAGGGAGGCCTCGCCAGCGAAGATAGAAGAAAGGACCTAAAATCTGGGCTTGAGGTGACGTATTATTGTTCTAGACAAAAAGCAAAATAATGTCATCTCTATCTGGTTTGTATTCTAGGACATCTGGTGATCCACTTCTCTGTCATGGGTTGGCCTAAAAATTAGTATTTGAAAAGTGGTGACCCTACCCCCCCCCGCACCGCTCCCCCTTCCCCCCAAAATAGGCAGTGACCAAAACTACTCCCTCCTGTCCCAAATCAATCAACCCTTTTCATCCAGGCTGTTAACAGGCTAGTTGATTCTTTGATGGGGGTTAGGATGACTTTATCTACAACATGCCAGTACCCTCATGTTGCAACAATAAAAAGAAAATGTCCCGTTACCAAAGGCCCTGCTGGGGGAAGGGAGAGGCAGAGTTGAGGAACGCCCCTCTGGGGTGTATGCCTGGTGACAAAAGTACAGGCCTGGCTTATGATACCGTTTTATGTTGTATGCTGGGCTCCATCCAGAATAAGCTCGTAATTGCAGCCAGATTCTCTGTCCACCAAGTACTGTACGGAAAACACTGCAAGTAGTGATTGACATCTCCCCAGATTGCGGCAGGAGTTTGAAAGCATGGGTGCCTGCTGTGTGCTTTTCTAAATACCAGCAATTCTTACATTCACGATTCAGATCTGTTTGCTTGCCGCACTTCTCACCTGAGGAGCTTCTGGTTTGTTCTCACTGAAGGAAGTGAGGTAGTTCATGTTGTGTTTTTCAGCAAGCAATAGTCCTTTTTTCTGCTACTCCTGAGGTCAACTAGAGTCTAGTCTCTTTGTGGAAGTGGCCTCAGGACCGGACCTGTTGCCTTTCTGTCAAACTATCTGTCCCTATATTTTTAGCACAAAACCTATCATGTGAAGCAAAGCTATTTATGAAAGTTGTGGTGGGTTTGAATGAAAATGGCCCCCATAGGCTCATAGGCACTATTAGGAGGAGTGGGCGTGGCCTCGTCACAGGAAGTGTGTCATTGAGGGTGGGCTTTGAGGTTTCAGAAAGCTCAAGGTCCAGTGTGTCTTTCTTCCTGCTGCCTGTTCACCCAGATGTAGAGCTCTCAGCTGCCTCCCAGCCTCACATCTGCCTATGGGCTGCTATGCTTTCCGCCATTATGATAATGGACTAAACCTCTGAACTATAAGCCAGCTCCAATTAAATATTTTTCTTTATAAGAGCTGGGATGTCTTTTCACAAAGAAATAGACACCCTAAGACAAAAGTAGTTCTGTCTCTGTATATATTTCAGTAAATCTGGGACTTGTATACATTGATTTTTTTTAATGTATCTATCAATGTAACTATCAATATTTTAAAATATCGTTTACTTATTTAAATGGTTTTAAACTTGGAATTTCAGTTGTGAATGTGAATAAATTCTTTTAGCTTTTATAATAGAAACGGTGGTAAGAAAAGGTGTGGCTTTTGAGCAGAACATGTGGTTTCAACATTCAGCTCCGCAGTGTGCCAGCTTGGTTCTGAATCAGCCTCACAGCCTTCCTAACGCTGTGACCCTTTAATACAGCTTCTCAGGTTGTGATGACCCCAAACCATGAAATCAGCCCCAGTGACAAACTTCCAACAAGGCCACGCCTCCTAATCCTTCTCAAACAGTGCTTCTTCTTCATGACTAAACATTCAAACGAGGCCTTACTTATTCAAATCATCACATCTGTAAGATAATACTATCCACCTTGTAAGAGAACAAATCATTTGCTGTCTGTAAAATGCCAAGCATAGCACCTGGTCCAAGGTAAATACTTGCTCAATGATTGTTATCTTAGAAATGGATATCAAAAAAATCCTTCTTTGCTTTTTAAGAAAGAAACAGAAGTTGTCTTTTGCTAACCAGACATGATGCCTTCTTAAAGGTTTTGAAGTAAAAATCTATTAAGTGTTCTCTAAAGTAACTAGGAGGATTTAGGAGAAAGATATTTATGTGTCTGGAGAAGGGCTAGTTGGAAAAATTCTCCTTTGTGGACAAGAGTATGTTCTACTTAACTGCCCCATTGTTCTTGTCTGTTTGACCTCTTCAACCTTGAAGGCAAAATGGAAGGTTTAAAAACTGTCTAGAAGTTTTTATTTTCCCCACTGAAAACACACAGTGTCTTTGTAACAGATCCATTTCTGGAACCAATTTTGAGTCCAATTCTGTGTCAAGGTCAGTGTCCTGAGGCGACTTGAACGAAGGCTAAGTTTCTTTATAACCTTGTGCTTGAAGCTTAGATTTTTCAGATAAAAAATTTTTCAAAATTTTTGTACTGTTTCCATTTCTTACCACCTTTCCTCAAAAGCTGACAATCACCCGGCCATGACTAGAAACCCAAAGCCTCTTTATTTTAAGGCTGAGCCTTCTTTCCTCGGAGTCACCTAGACTAGATGGAAAGGAGTCTTTAAATCCATACTAAACAACGGGGAAAATTCTCATTTTGTTAATGGACAACGCAGAAAACAAACAAGCACAGCTGCTTTACGGCTTTAGTCAAGTAGCAATGGTGGGGATTTTGATGTGTTCGCACTAGCCGTGATGCTCTCTGAGGCGTTTTCTGACAGAAAACACGTTCCTTGTCTTTGAATTCTGAGAGCAGAGAATCTGATTTTGGTGCTTACCATAGCTGTGTGTTTTTAAATCTGCCACAGATTCTTCTTCCCTCATCTGTGGTTTTTTTTTTAATTTATTTTATGTATATGATGAGTACACTGTCACTGTCTTCAGACACAAGAAGAGGGCATCAGATCCCATTACAGATGGTTGTGAGCCACCATGTGGTTTCTGGGAATTGAACTCAGGACCTCTGCAAGAGCAGTCAGTGCTCTTAACCGCTGAGCCATCTCTCCAGCCTCGTAATTTTTTTTTTAACCCACTCTCATCAGTGGTTACAAATCTACTTTCGTATCATTATCTTTTCTTACCATGTTTTTTATGCCTTCTTTTAGACAAGGGTTCCCTGGCTTTCCTAGCTCTGCGGAACGTTGTTGTTGTTGTTGTTGTTGTTGTTGTTGTTGTTATAATTGAGTTCTTCTAGCTCCATACGTGTGAGAAGGCAACGCTTTTCACCTGTGTTTCAGCTCCTCGAATGCGGCTGGGTCACTTTCCCATCTTTTCTATTGGTCGCATCAGCCTCTTCAAGGACATTCACAGTCACGTGACATCATTACCTCGGCCTCCATCCCTTCCTCTCAAAATGTCTGCCTATGTTTTCTCGAGAGTTGGTATTTACCATCCCTGGGCTTGAGAAGATGGCCAGCATTCCCACTTCACAAATGCTCCTTGGATTGTTTTGAGTGTTTGTCGTCTGTTACTGTCTGATTTGGTTGGGTTTTGAGCCACGTCTTGTGGTATACAGAGTGGTGGCAAGTTCCTGGGCTTAAGTGGTCCTCCTGCCTCAATCTCACAAAATGCTTGGACAACGAGTGTCTCCTATCATGGCTGGCTGATTTCGAATTCTTTAACTCTGGCCCCTTGCTTTTCAACTTCTGTTTCTAGAATTTATTTTCAGACGGCAAAAATGCTGTCTATCTTATAGTCTAAGAAAACCTACAAAAGTGTCCTCAAACCTTGTGTTAGGTATGTGGGGTATCTTCTTATTATCCACTCCCCTCAACCCATTGAGTGTCTGAATGGTTTCAGGGAAGTGATTCCGCGGACCTCATTTAGGGTGGAGGAGTGCCACCAACCAGGGCATCCCAGCTACTGGTTTACGTGATGATGGAGAGCAGAGGGCAGGCATCTCAGAGCCCTCTGGAAAGCGTTGGATGCATAAAGGAATCCTATAAATGTATGGCTTGCTAGGGAGCTGTAACTCTAGAAAACTGGCCCGAGAATGAGTCTACAGAGAAGACCGAAACAGAGCTGAGAACAACTCTTCGCAAACTTGACCTACCTGCAGTATCTAGTCATTAGGGCAGCCAATGAGTTCCTGTTAGTCTATTTCGTCATGGGTTTTCTGAGACTTCAAGTGAAGGCTCCCGACTAACTCGTGGTGGTAGCACATTCACAATTTCTTTTTCTTTTTTCTTTTCTTTTTCTTTTTTTTTTTTTTTGGTGTGGTTTTTCGAGACAAGGTTTCTCTGTGTAGCCCTGGCTGTTCTGGAACTCACTCTGTAGACCAGGCTAGCCTCGAACTCTCGAACTCAGAAATCCTCCTGCCTCTCCCTCCCAAGTGCTGGGATTAAAGGCGTGTGCCATGACCACCCGGCTCACAATTTCTTTTTCAACTAGTCCTGATAAACAAAATGACTGAATCCGTGACTAATGCTTCAGCAACCTTGGGGGCACCCCTGGGCCCCTTGTTGTGGCCATCATAGAGTTCCTAGCTACCAAACGAGTTGTGGTTTTCCAGTATTTCCTCT